AACAAAAAGGATCAGCCATATAATTTATAAATTATTTCTTGATTAATTCTAGTAGTACCTTGTCCACACTTCTAGGACTAAGAGTCCTTGCCTCCTTTACTCATGTGTTGGTGTGGGACCCATTTGGTGGTTGGTCCCAACCTTCTTCTCCATTGTTGTTATGATCATGGTTCAAAGTATCGATACGATAGGTGTATCATGTCGTATCTTTTGAAAAAGATACGGTCTGAAATGCCTATTTCCAGGTGTTTCGAATCCCTAATTTTTTTAATAATAAAAAATATCTTATAAGCTTCCCAAAAAATTAAACTTTGAAAAAACTAAACTAAAAAAAAAAAGTATGTATCGGTTGTTTCTAAGAATCGATGCGATACGACCGAAACTCGTATCATATTGATACTTTAAACTTTGGTTATGATGAATCCATCCTCATTGTACCATATGTCTCATCGTTGAATATATGTGTAAGTGGTAGTTTGTGAGGGATGGCAATTGGGTGGATTCGGAGAGTGTTTTGTAAATTTTAGACCCTATTTGTCTTTTTAAACTTTTCAACCCGTATTCATTTCAAAACCTATAGCGGGTTGGATTTTGAGAATCCAAACCTTCTCTGCACATGAGAATGTAAAACTCTCTCCGACCCTACCCTCCCCGCATTCAAGGGTAGGTGTGGGTTGAGTTTAGTACTTGTGCCTAATTTCCTATTATTTCTTGTAAAATATAAGCAATAAATAAGTAAAATAATACAAACAAACAACAAAATTTCAAAATATTTGATTAAGACATGTAAAAAAGACATAAGCTATCAATCATCCTTCACATACAATTCAAAATATTATTAAATTCAACACCTAGTACATAAAATTTAGATGCTTTCTAACAATATGCTAATTGGAGAGGATTGGATTTAGCCTAATACTATACCCTACCTGCCCAAAACCTATCTTTCAAGCAAAAGAACCCACTCCATTTGGGCAGGTAGGGAAGGATACCCACCAGGTATGGTAGAAATTGCCATACTACAGTTCCTAAATGTGAAGCCATAAGATCAATTTTCTATAACCTAATTAGCTGAGATTAATCAGTTGATGATTAGGTAATTGACCCAAGTTATAGTTAGATTTGTGAGCTTGGCTTCACACCACATGTATTACCTATTAAATTATAATAAGACACTAAATTAGTCATTATTGTTATATAAAACATAAATTTTATATCTTGTGTTAAATCAAAAATCGCCTAATCTTTTCACACTACCACTTACATGGCATTTCTAGCTTTCTCTTTTCCCTCTTCACAATCTTCATGCATAAAGGAAATCCACCCCATTATGAACAAAGGACTTTGTGGCACCAACTGTCTATTCTTATTCTTGTATGTACTCTTTGGCAGTTGACAAAACATGAAGTTCTTTTATATAAAAGAAAAAAACCTCCTCTGAAGTTTTTGACAATTATAATAATTTCTCCTGAAGTTTTACTTTAACAAAAGTCTCTCCTATAGTCTCATAAAAATTGAAAAACCTGCAGTTACAAAAATTACCCTTACTATTTATTAGGGCAACTTTCAATATAATTTAAATGTTAGATTGACCCTTCTAGACTTCACTGGACCTAACGTTTTGATAGAGTAAAATTACTTTATTCTTTTCGGTCTTACTCCTAGAATTTTTGTAATTCAAAGTGAAAAATTCTTTAGGGATATTTTAATAAATTTTCATATGAATTAATAGATATAATAGTAAAATGAGTACTTTTGAAAAACTAATGCATTTCAGCATTTGACCCAAATTTTTCAATACTAATAAAAGAATTGCAGGTTTTTTCAATAATACAGGGGAAGTTTTTACGAAAATGAAACCTTAGGGGGGTTGTCATATTTTACCCAAAAAATGAAGTGATTAATACAATTTCATTGAATTTAACTCGTAATTGCATCATAAAGAGTGGTTTGCCATCATCCATTATTGAATACATCTTGTCAGAGTGTAATGTATTAATGTAACCTTCTCTCAAGTTAAAAAAAGGAAAGAAAAAAGCAATACAAAAGAGTCTGAGTGCATCACACAATAACGTTGAAATTTCATGTGAAAATGGTGGTGCAGATCTGGCTAAAAATAAGGGTTCATGTTTTCCAAACTTTGTTAAAAAATTATAATCCCACTCACCATCTTTGAATGCTTGATTTATTATTAATGACTTAAGCAATCTTGTGCAGAATTAATAAAAAATAATTTGTGGCAGTTATTTCTAATCTTTTCCAGTCACGGGTGGTTTTTCGGCAAAGGATTTAGTGTCTCCCATTGGAACCATGGAAATTAAGTGACTCTGTCCCAATTAGGCAATATAATTATAATTAATCTAATGCAATTTGATTTTTTAATAAAATTCAAGGTTTATGTGCAATTTGTCAACCACACCTTCTAATCATGTAAAATTCCTCTATTTTAATCAAATAAATATAAAATGAAATGAACTTATTTAAAAGAATTTTACAAAGATGTTTACATTGAAATCCAAAATAATATAACCTTTCACCTTCATCTAGGCTTAGGACCAATGGTGAGGGTCCGTTTTGTTTGAAATTCGGAATAGGAATGGTCTATTCCCATAGTCTGTTTGGTTCAAACAGGAATGGGAATGGAAATTGGAATCAACAAGAATGGGATTTCATTCCCAAGGGAGGGGCAGAGAATGGTCATTCCCTCGAATGGAGGAATGCCATTCCAACAGGAATGGGAATGGGATTCCAATTCCATCCAACCAAACAGTTGGAACCGAAATAGCCATTATGGTTCTGATTCTAGACCCCTATTCCCACAAACCAAACGGGGCCTAAGTGCATTGGTAGTAGAAATAACAGACAAGCAAGCCAACATGATTGAATAAAATCAAGTTACCATCATGGTTTTTAAAACCGACCAGGTGACCGAACCGGTCAGAGGTCCAGTTACAACAGTCGGCTCATTTTGACAAAAAAAATTAAAAAATAAATAAATATTTGAAAAACGGTCAAAACCGTTCGAATGATTTGAATGGTTAACCAGTCGGTTCAACGGTTTGCTGACCAAAATCAATAATTTTGGAGAAAAAGCAGTTTTGAGAAAAATGGACCGATTCCCGATTTTTCCGGTCCGACCGTCCAATCCGATCCGATTTTGAAAACCATGGTTACCATCTAATTAGTTGTTTGAGGGCTCACTCGGCGCACTCCGAATATGAAGGTATTGCTTGCAGGGCCAAATCTGCATAACTATAGGCTCTCCATGGTAAGTTCAATGGACTTCACATACATCCATTTGCTCAGTCCTCACACCTAAATCCTCTTATAATCCTCTTAAGACTCAACTCCCTTGTTTTCTAATTTATTTATTTCTTTCGTTCTTAATAACTTTTATTTTTTATATCTATCCTTCATAAGTAATTTCTGATATATTGTACAAACATTTAAAAATCTAATTTAAATAAAATTAATACAAATTTCTTGGAATATTTTGTGGACTAATTTCTCCTAAATAAAATAGTGTCTAATCAATTAATTACGCGCATGCTAAAGTATGAATATTCATAAATTTTTTACTCTTCTCTAATTTTAGATGCCCAACTATAAATTTTAATTTTTTTTTTCAAATTAAATAAAAGTCCCTTGAACTGAATGACTTATTACTTTATCTTTTAGTGGATAAAATAATTAAATTATAAATTATTTAAGATTGATATATAATAATCAACCCACTTTCAGTTTCAGCCGTTAAATAGCTCACAACCTCCTTGTTCACTCAGTAATAAGTCATTCAGTTCATAGGTAATGAGCTACTTAATGGCTGAAACTGAAAATAGGTTGATTATTACATAGAAATGGGAGAATATTAACCACTCTAACATATCATTCATTCAACCATGAAGGAGTACAAAACCTACTTCGACTCATCCACTAAAACACAAAGCAACGAGTATTCAGTTCAGCCAATTCAGTCATTATTAAACCGCCCAATGTCATAAGCTGCCAAATGGAAATAATCTTACATATGTTCAATCTCCAAGTAGTTGGAAGTATCCTCTCATTTCCTCCATTTGCTATACCTGAATTTCTAAAGATGATTAACAATTAAAAAAGGAAAAAAAAAAAAAGATCTTGACCTAATGAAAGCCTCCTCCCATGAGGGTTTGCTCTTTATCAAGATTAGCTTGGCATCTACTACACACCCATATCTGATGGCTACAAAAAGCCCAAATCTGTAACTGAAAGAGAGGGTAATGACAGATCCAAAGGCTACACGGAAGTCTCATATAGTAGATTACTTGTCACAATGTCACTAACATTCGGTTGGATCAATGTCATTGTTATTAGTCGTTACTCGTAGTCTACGGGTTTAGTCTACACGAAAAATTAATCAGAAGATTTAGAACGGAATATATATATATATATAATTGCAGGCGGGCAATGGGCAGAAAAATCAATGAAATATTCATTAATGCCTACTGTTTGATAATTGCTGATTGCTGAAGTGACGGGTAGATTACTTGCTTCTTTGTCCTTTTGTCTATGAGATAATTTTAGTAATAAAATACTCAAAGTGTATAATTATCAAAATAACATGCCGTTTAATGAGTTATTGGCTAAGAAATAATTAAACAAAAAATCATTCCGTTCAGTCAATTCAGCTGTTCAAAGTTGAAACCCATTTGTTCTTTCATGGTTTCAATGGATTGACCAAAGAACTAGAGGACAGAGCATCTTTAATATGTTGTCAGTAGTATCCTTTTCATCAGTTCTCATTCATGAATTGTCCATGTCAACACCGTATTATAATGGAGATTCTGGTACACATCGAAAATCCTTGTTTTTTTTCTGATATTTTAAATTAAACAAGAATTGCAGAATAAATTCTTGGAAATTTTGGGTTTTTTTGATAGAGAATAAATTATAGGAGCAGAGAGAAGCTTGGACTTTTGAAGTACATCTATATCTTTCTTTTTATTATTTCCTTTTTTTTTCTCTTTATGAAAGAGGAGAGAGGGAAGAACCACCAAAAGGAGGAGAAAACGGAAAATTTACTAGCTAATATTACATAATTTCTTATTCTCATTTCTGAAGAGAGAGGTATCAGAGATGGGTTGTGTTTTATTGTGACATACAATTGAAAACAAGCCCAAATTGAGGAGTGTTGAAGTTATAACTCACAATAACTAAAATTTCCAGGACTCTTGATCCAAAATCATTCTAGAGTGCTGGCTAAGAGGAGGATCAACGGCTAGTTTTCTGTCACCATCTTCAGAAATCAAATCCCAACAGTTGAAATCAGACCAAAAACTAATGTCATCGTAGTCTGGCCACTCTAAGCTGGAAAACAGCAAGTCTTCCTGCTTTCCATATGAACCAGAAGAAGGAGAGGAAGAAGTTGATGAAGAGGGAAGGCAGGGGACTAGAATCTCATCTAGTTCAATCATGGGGACTTCATCAGTGCAGAAACCATCACTATTATCTTTATAGCTAAATGGGCTTGTACTGATCTGATTTTCCTCTTTTATCTCAGTAATGGATGACTGCAAGTGTTCCTGCTTTCCATATGAACCAGAAGAAGAAGAAGAGGAAGAAGTTAATGAAGAGGGAAGGCAGGGGACTAGAATCTCATCAAGTTTAATCATGGGGACTTCATCAGTCCAGAAACCATCGCTATTATCTGTATAGCTAAATGGGCTTGTACTAATCTTGTTTTCCTCTTTCATCTCAGTAATGGATGACTGCAAGTCTTCCTGCTTTCCATATGAACCAGAAGAAGAAGAGGAAGAAGTTGATGAAGAGGGACGGCGGGGGACTAGAATCTCATCAAGTTCAACCATAGGGACTTCATCAGTGCAGAAACCATCACTGTTATCTGTATAGATAAATGGGCTTGTATTGATCTGATTTTCCTCTTTTATTTCAGTAATGGATGACTGCATGGAAGTCTCTTGGCTCTTGTTTTGGTCTTCTTCATCAATGGCAACCATAGGACAGTTGTGCACTTGTTGTGGCTGTTCTGTTGAAATGGAGATTGGCTTGTGGGTTAGAGGATCTATTCCCATCTTCTTCAATTTTTTCTTGATGTGGGTATTCCAGTGATTCTTTATCTCATTATCAGTTCTACCAGGAAGGTGGGATGCAATTTTGGACCATCTGCAAATTCAAGAAAAAGAAGAATATAAGAAAGGGAAGTATGAGCTAGGAAACGAGTTTTAATGTGGAAAAAAGGATTACGAATTTAGAAAACAAGAGCAATTAATTAAAGTCAAAGCAAAGAATAAGACTAAAGAAAGAGAGAAAAGAAAAGTGAAGAGGGAATAAATAACCTGTTTCCCAGACGAGCATGCAGATCAATAACTGTCTGTTCCTCAGATTCTGATAACAATCCTCTCTTCAAATCAGGTCTGAGATAGTTTGTCCATCTAAGCCTGCAACTCTTCCCACACCTTAACAATCCTGCAAAAGTACAAATGGCGTGCAAATTCAGAGAACAATTATTAAACAAGAACTGTGATTGCTTCACTCAGAACTCTGAAGAGATTTTCTGTTCTGTTTTCGACTCTTTATCTCTCTTATCTTCTTCATTGTTTAAGCAAGATCCATTTATCTTCTCCTAAACCCAATTCATTTCTTCCTAGTTTTCTTAACCAACAAGAACCCATTACTTAATTTGTCAAAGATTTTCAATTTTTCTAAGACCCAGAAAGCTCAGCCACACTAAAAGGATCCTAGAGAAGAAACCAGCAAGCAGAAGAGCCCACCCACAGACCTTTCTGCTTTTCTGTCTCTCCATACTTGTCTAGTTCTATATTCACTTGAAGACAAAACAAGCTCAAAGCTCAATTGGTTTGAGAAACAGGATCTCTTTAGACCTGCAAGCTTAGGAACAGCTCTCCAGCAGCATTGACCATTGGTAAGGATGAAATTGATGAGCTTTTTGTCCTCTTCAGCTGTCCATGGCCCCTTCTTCAGCCCAACTTTGTCACAACAAGGTTGCCTTCCCATCTCTAAGACTCTAACTCAAAGCAAACCAGGCCAAGAAAACAAAGAACGAATAGAGAAACAAAAAAAAAGAAAGAAAGAAAGAGGAGAGAGAAACAAAAGGGTGGAGAGAGAGAGAGAGAGAGGGAGATGCAGATAACAGGGGAGAAGTAACTCCACCACCCTGATTTTATAATTTATAAACAAAGCCCTCCACAAAGACAATGGCCCCTCGCCCCCGCCATTCTTGTGAGACATAAGACTGTCCACTCGTGTCAACCGCACACGTGGGGAATATCTTCTTCAGAAAACGCCACCTCATCTGAAGACTTTTCTTGCATTTTACTCCCCAAAACTTGGTAGAGAAAACCAGATAACAGATTCTTCCAAAGAAAACAAAATCAAATTAAAGAAAAATAAGCAATTATTTCTCTTATTTCCTTCAAACTCTAATCTTGATACTCCCTCCCCATTACTTAATTGTACTATACATTCTGTACAACAATATCTCTACAGCACACAAGTGGTCTTACTTGTTAATCTGCATCATACTGGACCCACCATTCATGGGTATCATCAAACTAGAATCAGCCTAGCTGGAATGGGGTTATATAAACTCTCAATTACAATGGGCCCACTGAATCATTCACTGTACATTATTGATAAAGGTATTGATGATTTGATATACACAACAGTACGGTACCGAGACCATCTCATATTTTCTGATTTTATTTGATTCTTTCTTGGATTGATCCATTAGTCAATGGATGTTATGTTAGATGTGTTAATAACGAATCTCCTTTCCTTAAATGCATTAACCCCATATTTTCTTCAAATAATCAGAAAAAATTAAATGTTTGATTTGATAGAAAAACATCGTCGGCTACATGAATTTTTTATTTTGCCATTCCCTTATATTCAATATAATATTCATCGTTAAACATTTGATCTGGTTTTGATTCTCTTAAATGATTTCTCAATAAAAGTCCAAGAGATTATGATTATCCGGCACAATCTGCTTCTGATTTTCTGCTTATTTGATTTAATTTTCAGCAATTTTATGATCTAATTTTCCACTATCATTTTTCAGTAAAAGGTACAAACCTGGGCTTGCCTTGACCATTGGATTAGTGGGGCATGGGTTACAGATCGCCATGTGGCATGACGTAAGCGTGATCTAATTGTCAACTTTAGTGACGTGTTTTGGAAGTATATGGCCAAGATCAGTTAAGGGGTTGATCGTGTGGGGCTCTGGAGATGACTAATGAAGTTGAACAGTAGAGGAATTTTACAAATGGGATGGATTCTGCGAAGACTTGTGTCGTGTCATCATCTTTGGAGTTTGGAGTATTATAAGTGCATACAAGGGAAAAAGTAGAAGTCAAATAGGACCACTTGCCACCAAAGTGTACAGTGCAAGGGCCATAACCCCTAAAGTTTATGGGTCATTCCCATTGTTTTTAAGTTGCCAACCCGGCCGATGGTGAACAACCGGTTGAACCAGAAAAGAATTAAACAGTTATTATGGCTGTGTTTGTTTTGATAGAGATTAAGAGAGAATGATTAATAGAATTTTGAAAGATAGTTTTTGTGAGATTTCATACAATTATTTGTTAAGAATTCTCCCTCAACTTTATGTTTCTCTCTTATTTTATTTGGTTTGGTAGAAAATAAGGGATATGCAGAGAGTTGAAGAGAAGTTACTAACAAATTTGGAAAGCTTTCTTTATTGAGAAAATCTATGATACGGGAAAGATATGATATGGGAAAAGTTTTGACCAATCAAAACCTACCCATGAATATTGATAAATAACACCTGATTGGCTACCAAGTTTATGATTCGAGTTGATTGGTCAGAAAATTTTCAGATATCATATATTTTCCATATCATAGTTGAATCTGCTTTTGAACCAATTTGTTGTCATTTGATTAGGGATTGTAAAGTCTTGAACTTGCTTTAGTTACCCATGATCCTAAACTCGTCACAAACCCATTTAGGTTTTCCTCCCAATTTACAAACCTATCATGATCCATCTCACCCAATTATAGAAAGATTTGAATATTGATTGCTTACTTGAAACATAAGTATTCTAACCACGAGACCACTCTACAACATCTTACTAAACTAATTAATAAGCAATCATATGTGTGTGTATGTATTAAAGTGCAGAAAATTCATTTGCAAGTACCCTCTAGTCTATTTGAGCCATAATTAAGCTGGCTTTGAAAGCTTTTGCCTTTATAGTCTCAATTATCTATTTAAGACACTTTTTTGGATGACTAATTTCATAAGAGAATGTAATTTTTCTGTTATGATCATCAATACTTATAAAACTTAGCTTATTTCAAATTCGTAACCATTTACATGATTATTAATGAGATTTATAGTATTTGTTTGTTAAGCTCTGAACATATATGGTACTATTGTTTCCTTAGGATATTGCTGTAGTTTACTTTTTCCATTTTTATAGTGAAATTTCACTTCACATAAGGTCAAATTATTAAAATACATGTTTCTTATTTATACAGTTATTAGAGTAATAGATTATATTATATTCATATATTTTTAATATATTTGAATTTCCATAGCATATTCATATGTATTTTGATTTTTCCACTGTATCCATGCAAACCAAAGCGCCTATATATATATCTTAATGTCAAAACTCAAACCCTACAGGGTTTTAATAAAGATATCCTATTAGGGTGAAGACTGGTCAGAGATATTGGAAAATTCCTGTGAAATTGCCATCCCTACATTTGATTGTTTGGATATTGAAATGAGTATCTATACTAGCAACTTGTGAAAAAATGAATAAAAAGTAGCTTAAAAAAAGAAAAATAAATGAAAAAGTGAATATGACCATCAATGAGACAAACAAAGGTGGTGTTTGGTTCATGGTTAGTTTTTAGTATATATGGTCCTTGTCAAAAAAAGTCTGGCCCTACATTTTAAATATGTAAAGATCAAACTTTTTTTCTGAAAATAAAAACTCAAAAAGGGTGTTCTTCAATCTGTTCTTTGGGTGTACAGTACGTTTCCATGTCTGAACATTGTCCTGCAAATTAACAAGAGTGTAGATAGAGCAAAAACTACATTTGAATCATTTGATAGTTTCCAAAAGGAGCCCTAGTTTTGGATCCCCACCTTTGTTTCCTATTTCTTGAAATTAGGAATATTGTTTACTGAAGTTTACAAACCATGTATTAACTTCAACCACACTAAAAGGTTCATTCATATTAGCTCAACTCAGCTTTTCACTTAACCCCAATCACGAATATATACAATATGCAAGAACATCAGTAAGCTATCTTATTCTTATTATTAATAGTTAATATCTATCTAATTTTGGAGAACAATGTGTTCCATGATTTATGGCTAATAATATTTCAATTCCCTCAACTTATTAACAATTTTTTTTATAAAATTTATGTATAGTATTAGACATTAGTGCATATGTGGTAAAAGCAATAGTGTTAATTTAGACAGCAAGCATTTTGTTCACATGCAAATAATATAACATTGTACATATTAGAAGCGATAACTTAATTATTTAGTACATAATACTTAATAATTGAAGTGTAAAAGAAATAGTTAGGCTCTGCCTGTTTGCACTGTAAATCTGAACCAAATCCAAATTTTGCATCCCCACTCCTGCCTGATGCAAAATTTGAAGTTTTAGTTTTGTTTGCACTTTTTGGCAGTGTAAATGGGGATCGCATCATTTTATTTCCTACAAACAAGCTTCTGCAAAAGTATACCAAAGTTTACACTCAGCCCATTTGCATTCCTATGCATCAGTGCAAATTTTTTATTTAAACTGCAAACTGATAGCCTTTTGTTTAATGCCCATTTAACTATAGTTTTCTTGACAGTTGACATCATAAAAAAGAACACCAATTTAAAGAGACAGTTCATATCCTACGCTTCGTCTTCTTGAATCAAAATAAATAATTAACAAAACAAAAGAAAACTTTTTTCATCCTTCATCTCTTATTCATGCTGATTCCAACTGCCATTGACATAGATTGTTCTTTGTCCTCCATTATAATGATCTGTATTTTTCAAGGTTGTCTCCAGATATGGCTGAAAGTTGGTATAGTCTTCCATTATAATCAAAGGTTTTTTGCTTTTGCCATTGTCTCCTTTTTCACATTTAACTTTATACTGATTTTTTATTAATGGAAGGACGCAGCTAATTTATCAAAAATGTTCAATGCAAAACCCTCTATATATACTATATTTCTAAACCTTGTATTTGTATTGTATGTATTTAATTATATTGCAATATATATTGTAACATCTAAATAAAAACTGATGTGAGCTGAAAGCTTTGGTTTGGGCTAATTATCAAGCTTTAGTGAGAGATGAGCTTAAGGTTTGAGCTCTGAACATCACAGAAACATGAGCTCGACTGGATTAGCTTGAGCTATAAGCCCATGAATGAGCACTCAAGGAAAGCCACTGGCGAAACGAGGCATTTCTAGATTAGTATGCATTAATTCAATTCTTTTGAAGTATCCAATTAAAGACACAAATGGGTTTCTATAAGATCTGTACTATGTGCTATGCCTAAACTTTCTAAAATTTAATGGCAAAATTCTTCTGAAAATAATGTTTGAACTTTCTTGAATTATTGATGATAAACATAGGGTGACAAGAGGTTATGGGCAAAAGCTTGATACATGGAAACAACGTGATATGAAAAGCCACGCAAACCCATTTTGGTAAAGGAATAATTGCAAAGCTAGAGAGAAGGTAGGCTTCTCGTATAGGAGGTGTTGTAAATGCATAGGTCCATAGATGTAGTAGGCACGTTAGATAAGCACAATGAGTGAGTACATAATAGTTGTGTGATACATATCTCAGTTAATGGGCCTTTCACCCAAATATTTTTACTATGTTAAATAGAAATTATCCATTATTTTATTATCTTTTTTATTGTTTTTTATTTTTAATTATTTTGACAAAAATAATAAAATAATGGATAATTTTTGTCTAACAGAACAAAAACGTTTGAAAGAAAGGCACATTAACTAGGGCATGTGTCACACAGCTATTATGTGCTCACTTATTGTGCTTATCTAACGTGCCTACTACATCCAGACCCGTTGTAAATAAAGGCTA